AAGCCGTCCACCATACTGCCCCGAACTACATCACCGACCTAATATCCAAGTACCGCCCAACACGCACACTCCGCTCCTCACAAGACCTCCTTCTCTCTAGTTCCCTGGTCTCCTCCTCCCATGCCCGCCTCCAGGACTTCTCCACAGGGTGTCACCCATCCTCTGGAACTCCCTGCCCCAACCCATCAGATTATCACCTACTCTCCTCTCCTTTAGGTGCACCCCTGAAAACCCATCTCTTCAGGGAAGCCTACCCCACCCCCTGCTTACTTGCTGACCTCCTCCACTCTTCCTACCACTCCATCCCCCACAGCTATCTCCTCCTGTGCCACCATCCCCTCCCTCCTAGATTGTAAGCTCCAAAGAGCAGGGCCCTCGATCCCCTCATGTTTTGCATTGTATTGTTATTGTTCTGTCACATGTTCTGTCCCCCTTTGTAATGTACAGCGCTGAGCAAACTATTGGCGCTTTATAAATACTGTATTATAATAATAATAATATCGCACAGATCTTGAATCAATTACAAAAAACCAACGGTATTTTCCCTTAAAGCAAAAGTGGTTAACTTTTAACTATATCATAGCAGAAGCAGGTGCTGTTGGTACAAAGAAATATTTGGTTACTTTTCGTGCCTTGAGCAAAGCTAGATTTAAAGGATGAGTGGCTGCAGTTCTATAGCACGTAACTGACACACACAACTATACATTTGATCTAGACAAAATATAGAGAAGCAAAAAGGAGTATATATAAAAGACAGAATGTAGGGCGAGGAACATAGATTTCCCTTCACAAACAATGCTGTGTATAAGGAACATTGCTTTAAAGTTTTGGGATCTATTAGTCCAATTGTGATCCAAATGATGTGTTGATAACATTGAAATAAGAATGTGAAAAGTTATAACAGGATTGAGCTATCATCAGAGTTCATAGTCATTACACATCAATTTAATTAGTATTATCAAACCATCCTGAAATCTTTTGCAATTAGTATGGCTTTGTAGGGACACAATGTGTTCTATAAACATGACAATGTCTGGAAGTTTGTTTAATATGTGTGTATTTTTAAACCGCTCTCGAATGAGTAATTAATGAGAATACACCCACTTCCGAATATCCACTGTCATCCCTGGCCAATAGCATCGACTGGTTATACTTTCGGTTGACCTTTGTATGCCACTATGTCCTCCAATAGAACTGGCATGAAATGGTATGAAGATGTCATTACTCTTTTAGGCTGGTCACTACTTTAACAAGCCTTTTTTTATTCACACCAGTAAAATGCAGCAAACCATCTGTTGGATGAAAATAGAAATCATAATTACATATTGAATTTGCACAAAACTTTTATTTGCATTGTCATATTTATAATGTTAAAAAAGGCAAAAATACTAGGACAAAAGAACATAATTAACAAATGATGTGGGACTCATGGGTGCAGTTACCATTGCTCTACAGTGACCCACTTTCAGCATAAAGTGAGCTACAGCACATTGTACTCGAATATCAGAAAGTTGCTCTTTGATGTCAAAGTATTGCCAACAAGAATGTGTGCATCCACCTGCATACCTATGGCTCTGTCAGTGCAGTGCTGGGAGCAGGAATCATTAGCAATTGCCTTATCTACATTTTTCTTCACCATTAAAAAATGAAGAATGACAGCCGACACATGAAGACACATGAAGAATGACAGCCGACACATGAGAATGACAGTCAGCGCTCTAAGCTCAAAGAAGAAAGTGATCTGCATAAACATGTCAATAAAAAAAGGATGCAGAATGTGAGTGTAGCCCTGTTTGGGGGGGGGGGGGGGGTTTATGTGAAATGGTCCACACCAAACAGGCTATGGCGCTAACCTGTATATGAGTAGGCAATCCTGAGCCTTCGCTATATGGAAGAGGGGGTTGTGATAATACAAATGGCAGTGCCTCCACCTAGAATAGGGATCCTGCAATTGAGGAGACTCACCCCTTTCTAGGAATGTAACAGGTAGACAACTTACAGTAACTATACATAGAAATATAAGCTGGGTGCATTAATACTGCTAACATAAAAACATGTCACCACACCTGTATGAGATGAATGCAAAGTTTATATAAAAAACAGGATGTATAAGAATAACATTCAGGAATTACAATTTACCATAAATTGGGAGGTTGCAATTATACCCGGGTATATGTGCATGTAGTATACAGAATACCTCCAACATGGGTTATAGCGCAGTCCGGTTGCAGGGGCCCCTGGAGAGGTGAGAGTCCATAAGATGCACGCTTCCACTTCAGATGCTGCGATGGCATCCAAGTAACCCGTTCTATGCGGATGATTGCACTGCTTGTCTGACGATCAGCGATGCATCACCTAAAAGGATAAAATGCCCCATCTATCCTTACTCTTAGTCCCTATCCCTAAACTGGGCTGTCACTGCAACCGGGCCTCTATCTGTCTAAGTGGCCGTCGGATGCCTAACCTACCTCTAGCCTAATCTATCCAACGCTCCCTATGCTAATCCTAGCTAAAGGGAGATCCAGACCAATAAGGGTGCTATGGCTTTAAGCAAAGAGGCTGCAAAGATACACTGCAATTAACAGAAAGTTCACCTGACAGTCTTATGCAGGTGAAAATAAATATATATATCATATCTGTCTATCTGTCTATCTAATCTAATCTATCCTATCTATCCTATCTATCTATATATATATATATATATATATATATATATATATATATATATATATATATATATAGACAACTATAAGGATTCTGCAGTGTGTAAATAGAATAATGATAATGAACCACAAATCTCTCTCTTACAGAGATATGAAGTTGAAATATAACAGAGGCAGACCTAATCTGCTTCAGTAACAACTAGATAGATAGCAGCCTTGTTAATCTGGATCAATACTCACAGAATCACCATACAGTTCTCCCCAGATACACAGCACATGGCAGGCTGGCACCCTCCGCCTGATACTTCCTGGAAAACAAACTATATAACATCCTGGGGTTTCTTCACCTCCTTGTAGGGGCAGGAAGCACACCTAGGGACTTGTCTGTAATGGGACCTCTATGGTAATGGCTGTATATGAATGTAAACAAACCACAACTAGTGTATAAAATAACAGTTCCCTACACGAGCTAAGTGTGCGTGAAAATGATGGGAGGCACACAATAGTAATCTTATCAAATAAATAACAACTTGGCCCGTGTTCACATTTCTAACAGACACCGTAAACTTAGCTTATTTCACAAGATGTGATGAAACATAAAGGCTATTCTTTTAGGAGAAACGTATACAGTTACAGTATATTCTGGCTTATAAGACTACTTTTTATACTTAAAAATATATCTCAAAAATTGGGGGTCGTCCTATACGCGGGGTGTAAAATGTGCACCTTGAGTTTGTTTGGGTCAAGCTGGCTGGATGTGCGGTAATACGGCAGCTTCGGCTACATACAGTATACAGTATATATACAGCCCGCTGGACGTGCGGTAATGCGGCAGCTTCGGCTACACACAGTATATATATATATATATGGATGTGCGGTAATATATATACATAGTATATATATTTCATAACGCATACATCCCTACACACACGCAGCCCGCTGGATGTGCGGTATACGGCAGCTTCGGCTACATACAGTATACAGTATGGCCACAGCCCGCTGACGTGCGGTAATACGGCAGCTTCGGCTACATACGGTATACGGTATATATACAGCCCGAGCTGGACGTGCGGTAATACGGCAGCTTCGGCTACATACAGTATACAGTATATACCACGGCCCGCTGGATGTATACGGTATGTAGCGGCAGCTTCCGTATTACCGCACATCCAGCGGGCTGTATATATACCGTATACTGTATGTAGCCAAAGCTGCCGTATTACCGCACGTCCAGCGGGCCGTATATATACCGTATACTGTATGTAGCCGAAGCTGCCGTATTACCGCACATCCAGCGGGCTGTATATATACCGTATACTGTATGTAGCCGAAGCTGCCGTATTACCGCACGTCCAGCGGGCCGTATATATACCGTATACTGTATGTAGCCGAAGCTGCCGTATTACCGCACATCCAGCGGGCCGTATATATACCGTATACTGTATGTAGCCGAAGCTGCCGTATTACCGCACATCCAGCGGGCTGTATATATACCGTATGTAGCCGAAGCTGCCGTATTACCGCACATCCAGCGGTAACCATCCGATTTGGAATTTGATCCATATGATGATTGTCTTACAAATGTATCACAAGTTGTCATTCATGAACTTATGATGATGCCAGAGGATGAACATGAGGATTTTGAAGGATTTTAAGTACCGGTAAGTCATAACCATTTTTCAATTAAAAAATCTGATGTTTATAAATGGTGTCGCCTCGGAAGGGGGGTAGTCTTAGACGGCGAGTATAGCCCAAACCTATGTTTTCACTGGAAAATTAGGGGGTCGTCTTATACACCCAGCCACCTTATACGCCAGAAAATACGGTATTTATTCAGGACAATGCATACTATACCACAAGTAAGTTATCATAAAACCAAAAAAAGAAAACATACCTTTCAGTGTGAAGCTTGATGACCGACGTCTAATAAATATGTTTTTCTTCTTTGGTGGCTCCTTCTGGATATCTCCCATCTTTTAAATAAGCCACTAATTCTTTGGCCTTTTGAGGAATCCATGTTACCTAATAGCACAATACATATACAGAAAATGCAGTAATTAATGGTCACTAATCAGACTGTCTCCAGAGGTCACTGTGCAACCTTCTTATCAATAAAAGCCACTTAAATAGGAAACTCCTATCTGAACTAATCAGTAAAACACCCCTTTTAAAACAACACTTTGCATAGAGATGGGGTAAAGATTTATATGCCGCGCTGTTTTCAACTTGCTAAAAGTTCAATACAGTTAACAATAAGAGAGCCTAAGAATCGGGACAACACATTCCCTATATGTTTAAATACTGTATTTTTCGCTCCATAAGACGCACCTAGGTTTTAGAGGGTGAAAACAGGAAAAAAATATTCTGAACAATGGATTCTGAACAGTAAGGAGATGACCAGACTGCGGACACAGTACAGGAGATGACCAGGACTGCGGACACAGTACAGGAGATGACCAGAGACTGCGGACACGTACAGGGATGACCAGAGACTGCGGACACGGTACAGGGATGACCAGAGACTGCGGACACAGTACAGGGATGACTGCGGACACGTACAGGGGATGACTGACACGGTACAGGGATGACTGCGGACACGGTACAGGGGATGACTGCGGACACGGTACAGGTACAGATGACTGCGGACACGGTACAGGGGATGACTGCGGACACGTTACAGACCAGACTGCGGACACGTTACAGGGGATGACCAGAGACTGCGGACACGTACAGGGGATGACCAGAGACTGCGGACACGTTACAGGGGATGACTGAGACTGCGGACACGGTACAGGGGATGACTGCGGAGACTGCGGACACGGTACAGGGGATGACTGCAGACCTTTTGGGGAGGGGGGGAGCGGGTACCTGAATTTGACAGGTCCGCTCTTACTTCCGCTGAGTTTTTCTTTGACCTTACCTGTTCCTCTATCCAGCGGCGCGCTGTCTTCCCGGCTTCTGTAGTGTGGGCGTTTGGCTTGAAAGCCGGATGCCCAGTGCGCATGAGCGAGAAGCGCTGCGCATTGTGATTGGTCTGGCGGGTTCTGGGATCTGTCATGTATCCCAGGTGCCGCCTTACCATTTACAAAGAGCACCGCTTCTTGCGCATGCGCACTGGGCTCCCGGCTGTCAAACCCACCGCCCACACTACAGAAGCCGGGAAGACAGCACGCCGCTGGATAGAGGAACAGGTAAGGTCCCGCTGCAGAGCTGAGCGGCTGGCCCGGTATTCTGACGCTGCAGTGGAAATACCGGACCGGCCGCTCCATATTCACTCCATAAGACGCACTGACATTTTCCCCCCTTTTTTTTGGGGAAAAAAGTACGTCTTATGGAGCGAAAAATACGGTATATCAAGTTGTGCTTAATTATACTCTGTACAAATTATCCAATTATGAAGCATTTTTTAACATTTTCATAATGTTCTGGATTGGTGTAATTTGTGTTTTTAAAGAAAACAATTGAAGCCTACGGAATAGGACAACAACATGTTAAACTGTTACAAAAAAAATTAATAAAAATTGCAATACATGTCTAGACAAGCAACACAAGAAAACTGAAAAAAAAAAAAACTGCGCTATCATGCCTGCTATGGTCCTTTTTGTTATGAGAAAGCAGAGGGACTGGCAGAATCACCGGGGACAAAACACTAAATTATTAATAAAAAAGAGAATATGATACTTATTCAAACATTCTTATCACATGGTACAGCAGACACAGTTCAGGAAGATGAGATCTTCGGTTTACATATTATTCCATGTAATAGAATTGTTGTCTGATAGGCATGAATATAGTGTAGCCCTGTTTTTTTTTTTTTTGGGGGGGGGGGGGGGTTATGTGAAATGGCCCACACCAAACAGGCTATGGCGCTAACCTGTATATGAGTAGGCAATCCTGAGCCTTCGCTATATGGAAGAGGGGGTTGTGATAATACAAATGGCAGTGCCTCCACCTAGAATAGGGATCCTGCAATGGAGGAGACTCCCCCCTTTCTAGGAATGTAACAGGCAGACAACTTACAGTAACTATACATAGCAGTATTAATGCACCCAGCTTATATTTCTAACATGAAAAAATGTCACCCACCTGTATGAGATGAATGCAAAGTTTATATAAAGCAGCCACATAAACAGGATGTATAAGAATAACATTCAGGAATTACAATTTACCATAAATTGGGAGGTTGCAATTATACCCGGGTATATGTGCATGTAGTATACAGAATACCTCCAACATGGGTTATAGCGCAGTCCGGTTGCAGGGGCCCCTGGAGAGGTGAGAGTCCATAAGATGCACGCTTCCACTTCAGATGCTGCGATGGCGTCCAAGTAACCCGTTCTATGCGGATGATTGCACTGCTTGTCTGACGATCAGCGATGCATCACCTAAAAGGATAAAATGCCCCATCTATCCTTACTCTTAGTCCCTATCCCTAAACTGGGCTGTCACTGCAACCGGGCCTCTATCTGTCTAAGTGGCCGTCGGATGCCTAACCTACCTCTAGCCTAATCTATCCAACGCTCCCTATGCTAATCCTAGCTAAAGGGAGATCCAGACCAATAAGGGTGCTATGGCTTTAAGCAAAGAGGCTGCAAAGATACACTGCAATTAACAGAAAGTTCACCTGACAGTCGTATGCAGGTGAAAACACTGATATATATATATATATATATATCTATATATCTATCTATTATCTATCTATATATTATCTATCTATATCTATCTCTATCTATCTATCTATCTATCTATATCTATATATCTATATATACAGTGGGGCAAAAAAGTATTTAGTCAGCCACCAATTGTGCAAGTTCTCCCACTTAAAGAGATGAGAGAGGCCTGTAATTGGTATCATAGGGAGACCTCAACTAGGAGAGACAAAATGAGAAAACAAATCCAGACAATCACATTGGCTGATTTGGAAAGAATTTATTTGCAAATTATGGTGGAAAATAAGTATTTGGTCACCTACAAACAAGCAAGATTTCTGGCTCTCACAGACCTGGACCTTCTTCTTTAAGAGGCTCCTCTGTCCTGCACTCATTACCTGTATCAATGGCACCTGTTTGAACTTGTTATCAGTATAAGAGACACCTGTCCACAACCTCAAACAGTCACACTCCAAACTCCACTATAGTGAAGACCAAAGAGCTGTCGAAGGACACCAGAAACAAAATTGTAGACCTGCACCAGGCTGGGAAGACTGAATCTGCAAAAGGCAAGCAGCTTGGTGTGAACAAATCAAAGTGGGAGCAATAATTAGAAAATGGAAGACATACAAGACCACCGATAATCTCCCTCGATCTGGGGCTCCATGCAAGATCTCACCCCGTGGGGTCAAAATGATCACAAGAACGGTGAGCAAAAATCCCAGGACCACACGAGGGGACCTAGTGAATGACCTGCAGAGAGCTGGGACCAATGTAACAAAGGCTACCATCAGTAACACACTACGCCGCCAGGGACTCAGATCCTGCAGTGCCAGATGTGTCCCCCTGCTTAAGCCAGTACATGTCCGGGCCCGTCTGAAGTTTGCTAGAAAGCATTTGGGTGATCCAGAAGAGGACTGGGAGAATGTCATATGGTCAGATGAAACCAAAATAGAACTGTTTGGTAGAAACACAACTCATCGTGTTTGGAGGAGAGAGAATGCGGAGTTGAATCCAAAGAACACCATACCTACTGTGAAGCATGGGGGTGGCAACATCTTGCTTTGGGGCTTTTTCTCCACAAAGGGACCAGGACGACTGATCCATGTACAGGACAGAATGAATGGGGCCATGTATCGTGAGATTTTGAGTGCAAACCTCCTTCCATCAGCAAGGGCATTGAAGATGAAACGTGGCTGGGTCTTCCAACATGACAATGATCCCAAACATACCGCCCGGGCAACGAAGGAGTGGCTTCGTAAGAAGCATTTCAAGGTCCTGGAGTGGCCTAGCCAGTCTCCAGATCTCAACCCCATAGAAGACCTTTGGAGGGAGTTGAAAGTCCGTGTTGCCCAGCGACAGCCCCAAAACATCACTGCTCTAGAGGAGATCTGCATGGAGGATGGGCCAACATACCAGCAACAGTGTGTGCCAACCTTGTGAAGACTTACAGGAAACGTTTGACCTCTGTCATTGCCAACAAAGGATATATAACAAAGTATTGACATGAACTTTTGATATTGACTAAATACTTATTTTCCACCATAATGTGCAAATAAATTCTTTCCAAATCAGCCAATGTGATTGTCTGTCTGGATTTTTTTCTTTTTCCTCATTTTGTCTCTCATAGTTGAGGTCTACCTATGGTGCCAATTACAGGCCTCTCTCATCTTTTTAAGTGGGAGAACTTGCACAATTGGTGGCTGACTAAATACTTTTTTTGCCCCACTGTATATCTATATATTTATATCTATCTATCTATCTATCTATCTATCTATCTATCTATCTGAGAGATAGGGAGAGAGAGAGAGAGATATCTATCTATCGAGAGATAGGGAGAGAGAGAGAGATATCTATCTATATTTTCTGCAGTGTGTAAATAGAATAATAACCACAAATCTCTCTCTTACAGAGATATTAGGGTTCCAGTACAGAAGTTGAAATATAACAGAGGCAGACCTAATCTGCTTCAGTAACAACTAGATAGATAGCAGCCTTGTTAATCTGGATCAACACGCACAGAATCACCAACAGTTCTCCCCAGATACACAGCACATGGCAGGCTGGCACCCTCCGCCTGATACTTCCTGGAAAACAACTATATAACATCCTGGGGTTTCTTGACCTCCTTGCAGGGGCAGGAAGCACACCTAGGGACTTGTCTATAATGGGACCTCTATGGTAGTGGCTGTATATGAATGTAAACAAACCACAACTAGTGTATAAAATAACAGTTCCCTACACTAGTTTAATATAGGGCTTAGCTGCTAGAATAGGAGAAATATTAACTATCATGTAAAGTGTGTGAAAACAGCAGAGAGAAATCATAAGCACCACACAAAGTACTGGATAAAGTTTTATAGTTCATAAAAAAAAATATAACATGTCAGGGCATTAAAGTTTTAAAAAACACAGGACCCTGCATTCACTGTATTTGTGATCACATGGTACACAGAACATGGAAGTGCAATTAGTTTAGGAAATATAAAGTGATAACTACCTTTTTTCTCAAGAGCAGTGTTGTGACTTGTATCCGTGTTCAGCAGATCACTCCTTAAAGGTTCTCCGAAGAGTTTTCTTTCTTCTATAGGAGGATTCAGAAACCAGGACTTCTGTCTGGACGGTGCTGACTGTCCGTGTGCAGAACACATGCACTCTTATAAAAAAAAAAAGAGGGGCATCCAAAAAAGGATCAGCCTGTTTACACAATGCAGAGGATTGACCCTTTAGATTGCACACTGAATGTAACAAGTGTGCTTTACTGTCCGGACTGATAGATTTTATAGTTGTGTGTTTAGTAACACTTGAAGCACTAGAGCTATGCAAGCTTTTCTACACTTCATGAACAGGCTGCTTTATCTAGACTTTAACCTCCTCGGCGGTATGATTATTTCCGATTTTTTTTTTTTTGTGCTGAAAGCGGTACATTTTTTTTTTGCATGGAAATATGTCGTTTTTTTTTATTGTAGGCTGTAATTTTTAGGAATAACTCACTGAAATCTGTCCGAACAAGAGTCTAGTAAACATCCCGGGTAGGATAAAATTTGAAACACGAAATCATAAATTATAATTTAATAAATAATCATAAAAAATAATAAAAATTGAATTCAATAATATAATCAAACCAAAAACACTGAAATTTGAAATACAGAGGCAAATTCACACATCGCTGAGCAAAGTCGCAGAATCGT